TAGCTTATCGGAGTCTTCTGAATTCCTACCGTCCTGGTGAGTGTCACCTGTGAGGCCTGCCTTGTCGTCATTGGTTAACATGCTAACCAAGAGAAGCAAGATGCTAGAAACCTCCTCTGACTCTGTCATGACCCAGAAACCTTTGAATGTTTGTCTAATTGGACTAGCGTGCCGCTTGCATTGCCTCTTCTCGCCCGCAAGTTATCGTCAGTTGCTGGTCCCTGCGATTCCATGTGGATGCCTGGCTGTTCTGTCTTCCCGTTTTCCCAGTAGCCCCGAGGACCCGCGCCCTGACTTGGGAACTTGGGCTTGCTCTGAGTGGTCACTTGTCTTCTACTCAAACCGCCGTCCAGCTGTTCAGTTAATCCCTTCCACAGTCTTCCCTGAGGCCTGCGTTGGCTGCTGATCTGCAGACTACAGTTTCTTACCCCAGCAGAGGATCAGCCTCACAGCAGCTCCCCACATTCTTGTTGGTTCCTGATGGTCCTCATTTGCATGCCGAGCATTGGAACCACCTGGGAGACTTGCTTTACAAGAGAGAGTGAGGCGGGGTATTGAGCCTGGGCATCTTCCCCAGCAGTTCCAAATTACCAAGTCAGGGCCGATGCCCTAGTAGTTTTAATGCACCTGGTAAGTTAGGACGCCAGTGGCCGGAATGGAGGCGCCTCATGGCTGGAGGCTGGAAGGCTTGTGAGCAGCATGGTTCTCTCCCTTCTTGAGCTGCCCCCCCCCACCCCCCATATCCACTCCCAGTTCCCATCCCCACTGTTTCCACAGTGTTCCAAGCAGCCCTAGGCCCGTGGTTTTCAGTCGGTGTGCCACAAGGATTTTTAAAACATGCAATACCTGACTATTTAGTCAGAGGCACTGACCTCTCTTCTCTTAGATCAGGGGTGGGGAATGTCTGGCCTGCTGACAGTACAAGGCCCGTGAAATCATTTGGTCTGGCCTTGCCAAGGCTAATGGGGCGAGTTAAATCAATGTTTGACCAAATATAGCAGGCTAATTTTTAAGTTGATAATTTTGTATGGCCCTCGAATGATACTATAAATATCCAAATGGCCCTTGGCAGAGAAAGGTTCCCCACCCCTGCCTTAGATTGTCAAGTAAAAAATGACAACAGCCAACGCAACAATAGCCATCGGTGCGAATGAATAAAAATTATGCCCATTTCTTTTGTTAAATTGGCAAAAAATGTAGTTTTTGCTGTGTCACAGAATTTTAGTAATTAGCTTATGTGTGCCACGAGATGAAAAGGGTTGAAAGTCACTCCCCTGGGCACTGGATGCCTGGATGTGCTGGGGGGCTGGGAGGGTGTCAACATTGGGCACAGGGGTTGTAGCCGGGCACCTGGGTGGTCTTTTCTTCCCTGATAGCCCACTTCCCTTTTCCCAGTCCACTGTGCCTGAGGGGGAAGAATGAGGACAGGAAGGGGAGGGTGAAGGGGGCATGGAGAGTGGGTCTGTCCCTGGGTTGGCCTGGCCCCCAGGCCCCTGTCAGCTCAGGTGGATTAGCTGGAGCCTGTGGGGTGATTCTAAGAAGGGGCGGGAACCAGCTTCCTAACTACGTTGGCCTGTGTGGCTTTTCCAGCCCCCAGGAGACGTGCCCCCGCACTCACTTGTTGTCCAGCCGGGTTCACCCTCGGATATCTGTCTGACCTCAAGGCAGGCAAGGAATGCACAGAGGCTGTCCCCCTGGGTGGCGAAGAGGCCACCTCAGCGGCTGGTGCTTTCCTGGGCTCCCCGGTCTGGCCCCCAGCAGGAGGTGACCGGAATGAGGGAGCCACCAGGGTCAGCTGGAAGACCATCCACCAGGGCCCCGCCTCCCGTCAGAGTCTCCTGGCGGGGCTGCAGCTGGCAGCCTGGGCTTGGCAGTGATTCCATAATTGGAGCCTGAGTCATTAAAAAGCCATTACGTCTCCTCTCATGGTTATCGTTCAGTGCGGCCTAGAGCAGCGCCTGTCGGAAAAAGGGCGGCTGGGCGTGTTGGTGGGAGAGGAAGGTGCCTAGGAGAGGTGCTGCAGTGGGCGCTGAGCAGGCAGGGCCTCCCCCTGTGTGTGTGTGTGGGGGGGGAGGCTGGGCTGTGGAGGAGGTGACTGCAGCTGGGGTTCCGCCCTCCCTGGAGACAGCATTGTTGTAGTTATTGTTCCCAACAACACGCTGCTGTGCACCAGGGCAGGTGTCGGCTCCAGACACATGGGTGCCAGGCAGCCAGGCAGCCAGGACGAGCTGGTCCCTGCCGGGCGACTTTGCAGCCCTCCTGGGATCACTGCTGCACCCGGGCCCACTTCCCTCCCCCGCGTGCCCACTCCCGGAGCCTCATGCAGGTGTGTGTCCTTCGGCCTGGGTGGCCTTGCTCAGCCAGGCGCATGCTTATCCTCCAGCGCATGCTGCTCCCCCAGCTGCCGCCCACCCTGCGCTCCCTCCTCCCCGCCGCCCCACCGCCTGGTGGGAAGTGAGGTGGCGGGCGGGCAGCTCTCTGGCACTTCCAGGACATCGGAGTTTCTGGAATTCTTTACAAGCCGAGCCCTTGTATCCATCCATCTTTCTCTGAAGGCCGGCGGTTAAGTCTGTTTTGTCTGTAGCCCGACCTGGGGACTGTGTTATTAGTGGCTGCGGCTCTCTGTCATCATCCCCCGTCAGGGAATCGGGTGGGGGCAGAGGAAGAGGAGTAGTTTTCATGGGAAGCAACCCCCTTCCCTGGGTGGAACGTGTGGAAAGTCCACGGCGGCGGGGCAGCAACCTGTGGTAGGAAAACACCCCCAGGTGCAGATAAGGACACGGGAGGGGGCACTGGGCAAGGGGGCCACAAGGGCTGGAACCTTCTATTGTCAGCCGGGCAGCCCTGTGTCGTGACCCAGCTGTTCAGGAGGTGGCTTTGCTAACGTGAGCTTACCTCTCAGCTGGACGTCACACCTTCTCCAAATGGCCCAGCACCATGGAAGTCATCTTTTTCCTGCTCAGCCAAACCCAGGGCCCGGAATGTCCCCGAGGAGTACCCCTGGCCCTGCCCTGTGAAAGGGCATGTGGCTTGCGTCATCCGGGAAGCCATGACCCTCCTGCTACAGGAAGAGAGCCAGTGCTGTGTGAGATGACCCGGGCTCCTGTGGCCAGGCCACTAGCACGGGACAGGGATTGCAGGCTGCCCGGGGCGTGCCCGGCCCAGAGCTTGGCAAGCAGAGCCCAGTTGGCTGTCAGGCACGTGGCTCCTGTCAGCCAGGTGTCATGCAGACTCAGCCCTGGAAATGGTGCCTGCGGCAGACACGGGGAAGTAGTGTGTGGACACAGGCGCCTGGCGCTGGTGTTCCTCAGATAGGGCGGTGACTGCAGGTGGAGAGGCAGGTGGACAGCTGGAGCCTCTCAGGCCTGGCAGGGCCCGGGCACCGTGCTCTCTAGTACCGTCCCCCTTTCTCCAGGACCCCTGCTGCCCTCCCTCGGTGGTGCGTGCCTTTTCCGAGGGGACACCCATCATCCCACCCGTTTGAGATTAGGAGCTGGTCCCCGTCCTCGGTCCTGGCGGTGCTCTCGGCGGTCCCAGTGCAGCTGTGTGCTGTTGGGCAGGTGGGCAGTTTCAGGAAGGCAGGTCTGACTTAGAAGCACGTCTGTTGGGTTTTCTCCTGGGCTGTGGCAGCTGAGGTTTCGGAGAATAAGGCTGGTCTGTGCACAGCCCCAGATCACAGTCAGGGCTCCGCCGAGTGCAGAGCCGCCGTGCGTGTCAGGAAAGCCTTCCCATTGGCTAGTAGGTAGGATGCCGCCGGTTAAGGTATGCAGAGCCCTCATCAGTGTGGCCAGGGAGGAGGGTGGTGGGCTGGCTGTGGTCATGGACTTCCTGCCGCTCTCTGGCTGGCTCCCCAGCCCGCAGAGACACAAATAGTTTGGATGAGCGGAAGGGACAGTTCAGGTGAATGAGTATTACCGCCAGAAGGGCTGCTACTGCTGTCAGGAGGAGTGGAAATGGCTCCACTTGTCTTTGGGGTGATTGGACCTCATCTTTCCCCCGTCCATGCACACTGCACTCACCCACACACAAGCACGCCCGTCTCTTACACAGGTAGATGCACTCGTACATTTGTGCACATGCGCGAGACATACTTATAGCCTCACACACGCAAACCTCATGCACTCGGGCACATAACCGGGCCAGGATGGCATAAGGGGTTCCCAGAGCTCAGCCCCTCAGGCTCCAACCCCACCCCATGCAGCTGGCCTGACCTTACAGAATTGGGGGCCTAGGTCCCATGTATGTGCCTTGGACTAGAAAGAAAATTAAGTGGTTTGAATCACCAGCTCGCTGCTGTGCTCTGCCTTCCTGGGAGGCAGGGCCAGTCTGTGTGAGACGACGCTGCCTGTCCTGATACCTCAAGGGTTCGATGCCCTGGTGCTGCCTGGCGCCACGTCTGTGGCCAGGGAAGGGTCCAGTGGCTGGTTGGTGGATCGTGTGTTGATGTGCCCACCCAGCCCCAGCCCCACCCTGAGGGACTGGTTGGCCACTTGGCCGCACTCCCCCTTGGCCTCAGTGGGCAGTGTCAGCACCACTCTGCCACCGGGAGAGCCAGGCGCTTGCTTTGAACAGATGAGGAGAGGGTCTGCCCAAGGGCCCAGGTTTCCCCAGAAAGGACCGAGAGGCAGGGGGAGGGGTAGGGAGATCTGAGAGGGAGCCCGAGTGGGCAGATCCCTGGTTGGAAGCCTGGCCTTGTGCCCGGCTTGTGCCCGATGCTTCTGGACAGGTGCCCTTGGAATGCAGTCAGGCCGTGCTCATGGGCCCAAGGGAGAAGCCTCCTGTAGCTACAGGGGCCAAGGATCCCAGCAGGAGATAAGCTCCCAGAGCCACAGGAATATAGTGCAGGCCTTTTTGTCTCGAGCTGGTTTCCAGATAGTAGCCCACCCTTCCTCTCAGCCATGATGGGAGGGGTTTAAAGAACCCAGATGTGCTGGGTGGGCTCTGGGCCGAACCCTGGCACCTCGTGGGCAGGCCCTGAATGCCCTTCTCTCCCTCCGCAGTGTCTTAGATGATGAGGGCAGCAACCTGAGGCAGCAGAAGCTTGACCGGCAGGTGAGTGAGCCTGGGGCCGGGTGGAAGGGTGGGCACTCGCCATCCTGGCTGCCCCCTTCCTGGGTGATCCTGACTGGTGGGGAGAGCGGCCCCCCCCCGCACACACAGAGCAGCTCTTTACCAGCTCAGCACTGACCAGTACACGGGGCTTCTGCCACGCAGGCCACTGGGGAGCTGTGGTCCTGCCAGGACAGTTCCCTGGGCTGAGTTTTGCCTCCTTTTCCTGGACCCCAAGTCTCGGGGCACCAAGGACATGAGGCCTTGGCCCAGAGGGGACGGTGGCCCCCATTGGGGTCTCTAGAAGCAAGCTGAGCTAGCAGGGCCTTCTCTCTGCTCCCAGGCTGGGAGCCCTCCCTCGGGTGGAGGCGGCGGGCTGCCCCCTCCAGCCCGGTGACCCCCATGCCTGTCCGGTGCCTCTGCAGCGGGCCCTGCTGGAGCAGAAGCAGAAGAAGAAGCGCCAGGAGCCGCTGATGGTGCAGGCCAATGCCGACGGGCGGCCCCGAAGCCGGCGGGCCCGGCAGTCGGAGGAGCAGGCCCCCCTGGTAGAGTCCTACCTCAGCAGCAGTGGCAGCACCAGCTACCAAGGTACACCCTGCCCTTGGGACAGCCAGCCCGGGAGGCTCCACACTCCTCAGGGACTCCTGCTAACCTGAGCAGGCAAGGGCCCTCTGTCAGGGTGTGTCCAGGCTGCGCGTGGCTCCCAGCGGGAGCAGACAGCTGAGTGGGGCCGGTGGAGGGAGGCTGGGACCTGGAACCTTGGGCTTCTGGGTCGGGTGCTGGAGCCAGAAGCTAAAACTTTATTGATCTGGGAGTTCAAATGTCCAGGTTTCTGATCAGGAGAGTTTCACCGAGAGGAGGAGGCAGTTCCTAGGAGCAGAAGGGTCTGCTCCCCATTGGTGTTCTGCCTCCTGGAGGAATGCTCTCAACATCCCACACCAGCCAGTGTCTCCTGCGAGACACCTATTGCCTCCCCTCCCTGGGCTCCCCACGCCTCCGTCTTCCTGGCTTCTGACCGCAGGTCCTTGCACAAGGCCATGGTGACCAGCAGCCTCCAGCTCTCCCATCTTTGCACTCTGCTTGTCAGCAGAGCTCGTCCTGGGATGGGGGAGGGGTGGCTTCATTACCTCCCTGAGCTCAGGACCCACCTGTGGGTTAGGGGAAGAGTACCTCAGACTGAACAGAGGGTTGGTCTCTCTGATCGCTAAGGAGGGACTCAGATGCAGTCCCACTGCCCCCTGCTGGTGCAGGTAATCCCAGTGCCTTCTCTGTCAGATGGTGGTTCCGAGAAGGTGGCATCTGGCTTTTGCAGTTGGAAGGAACCGTAGCAACCACGGCGCTCCCCTCCTCTGTGGCTTCCTCAGGTCCTGCAGCGCCAGCCACTTCCAGCTCCTGTAGTTGCCTCAGCTCAGGGCTAACCTTTCTCATCTGACTGTCGGGCCCTCCCCACAGCCCTGCGCACTGTGTCTCAGGTTCCGCTAACCCAGCCCTGAGCACACGGGGTCCCTTTCTCTGTGTCTTGGAGGGCAGCACCTAGTGCCCAGTCTTGGCACAGCACCCTGGACAAGCTCCGTGCCCTCTGTTTGCCCTCGTCCCACTGAGGAAACCCATTCATACCTGATAATAAAGGCACTTGCCAGTGGCTAAGCATGGTGCTGGGCGCTCTACCTGCGTTACCTCATTTATTCTTTACAGTAACTCGTTATCCCCACAGGATCGATAAGCATTTGGACTCCCAGGGGGTCACCGACTTGCCCGTGGTACGTTGCTAATGAGCATCGGGACGAGGCTTTGCACCCAGGCCGGTCGGGCTCCAAATGGCCTCGCCATCATGTTTTGTCACCTCCCTGACAGGGGGGTCTGTCACAGTGATTTCCCTGTGTGGGCTGCCGTTCAGCACCAGCCAGGCTGGTATGGCAGTACTCCACCGGAGGCCCTGCACAGGACGGGGACAGGGACCTCAGCCCCACACTGCTGCCTTGGACAGCCAGCTCCGGCGGCTCCACGCAGACCTGGCCCTGGCCCCACCCTTTCCTGGCAGCCCCGTCCTCACACTTTCTCCGTGAGCACGGTCCCGAGTGGCAGTGGTGCCCTGCAGGGAAGGCACCTGCTGCTGGGTGGGCATCCCAGCCCGGCTCTGCCAGGCCTGGCACCTGACCGTTCGAGGCTGCACGTGGGATGGGAGCCTGCTCCTGGGACATCAGGCCCTGCCAGTGTGGGCCGCAGGCCAACACCTTGAGGCTTTGAGAGAGTCTTACAAGACACCGGTGCGCAGTCATGTTGGCAGGTGCCTCTCGATCTCTGAACTGTGTGCCAGGCCCGCAGGAGGGACCAAACTCAGAAGGCAGTTTCTGGTCATGCCACTACCTGCTCACCTGTGAGTGAGCACGTCACTGGCCCTCTCTGGGTTTGTCTCCTGTAAGGGAGAAAAATTCTTCCAGACTTTGAACATTGAAGCAGCCATCGTGCTTCGAGGTCCATCGTGAGAGTCCAGACCAGGCTGGGTCCTGCTGCTTCTGCTGGGCTCTGAGGTGGACACAGCCCCAGAGGGGCTGGCCGGCCTGGGATTGGTGTTCCCTGGAGCACCCCAGCCCTCCCCGCAGCACTAGCTTTCTCCTGCTCCGCCCCCTGCTGGCTCTTGGTGTTAAATACAAGGGGAATTTGACCAAAATGAGGGCCCGGGACCTGATTACAGATCCCAGGTCTCTTGCAGCCCTCCTGGCCCAGGCCCAGCTTCACTCGGACCCTGGATGCTCCACGCCCAGGACCTCTGTCCCTAGAGCTGTGATGTATTCATCCGGTTCTTAAGTATTTATTTTGAGGGCCTACTGTGTGTCAGCTTCCAGATTAGAGGCTGGCAATGCAGGGTGAGCACAAGCAGGTGTGGCCACTGTTCCCTCGTGGACCTGATGGTCTGAGAGGGAGGAGAGCTGAGCAGGTGGTCACAGGTGTGCTTTGTGGGAAGCTCTGTGCGTGAATGGCAGACCCCCCTCCCGAGGAGCTGGAATCTGCAGGAGGAGTGGGAGTTAGCGGACGGTGGCATCGGGAGGCAGCGGGACAGTGAGAGCGAGGCCCCTGTGGCCGGTGGGAGTCCAGTGTGCACAACAGCACGGTGTGGCTGGGACTTGGGCCTGGGAAGTGAGGCGTGTGCGGTTCGGCCAAGGCCAAGGCGAGGGAGATAGAGGAGCCAGACTTGCAGGGGAATGTCGGTCTTCATCTTAAGAGCAGTGAGAAGCGGTTCTGGGACTTGGAGCAACTAGGGTTCTATGTGGAGGACGTGGAGGCCACCACCTGGGACCCGCCCGAGGCCTCTGTGCCGCTCCTGGTGTCCGGCTGTCTCTCCTGCCTCGGGGCGCTCTGCACCCCAGGCCACCATGGGCTCGTCCCCCCAGGGCAGTGCAGGGCCCCTGGAGTGTGGCCCTCGTTGTGGTCTCTTCCAGGAGATGCAGCCTTTTCCGTCTTCATCCACCATATCCCAGTCATGCTCCCCCCCCCCCCTCCCCCCTGCCCCAGCTCAAACAGTTGGCTGGCCCAGAGCTTCGGTTGGTCATGGTGTGGGCAGGCTGGGTGCCACCTCCCTGTCCCGGGCACCTCTGCCTGGTACAGATGGGTGGTGGGAGGCCCTGCTGGGGTTGGGGAGGCTGGAGAATGTGCTGGGAAGGGTGTGAGCCGGCGCTCTGGTCTCACCCAGGGCCTGTCTCTCCTGTCTCGGGCTCTCTCCTAAGCAGTTCAAGAGGCCGACCCACTTGCCAGTGTGCAGCTGGGAGCTGCCCGCCCAACAGCACCAGCCTCAGCCAAGAGAAGCAAGGCAGCGGCCGCCGCAGGGGCCTCGAAGAAGGGGAAGAAGGGGAAGCACAAAGGTTGGCTTGCCCCCTGACCCCCCACAGGAGGGTTGGGAGGCTCATCTTCCCAACCTGGAGGCCAGGGACAGGTGGGAGGCCCCGGGGGAAGGCACCAAATGGCACTCAGGGCCCCACCCAGCTGGCTCACAGGCCCCCTCTAGCTCACGGGGCACCTGGGCTGGCCTGTGGGTGAGGGGCAGGCCCTCCATACTGCCAAGAAGGGAAGTCCAGCGCAGCTACGGCCCACGAAGCCCCTCCCCTGCCCAGCCTGAGAGCCCTCTGCCTCCATCCCGAGCCAGGACACTTCCCGTGGGGCTTGCAGCCTCCCAGTCACCCTGGGGGCCTCCGCCACTCCCTAGCCTCAGCGCCACCCTCGGGCCCGCACACCAGTCTCCCTGCTCCTCTCTCCCCGAAAGGTCCCCAGGGACAGGTACGGTGGCCCCTGCCCCGAGTCCTGTTTCTGTGGGCTGGACACCTCGTCTCCTCAACCACATGTGTGCCCAGTGGTTTCCAGGCCTCCGGTCGTGGTGGGACGGCGGGTGGGACGGGGGAGCGGGGTGCTGGCCACAGGCTTCCGGGGCTGACGGCTGTCTTTTGGACATAGCCCACCCGGACAGGGTGGCTGCCACCGTGTGGACCAGGCCTCCTCAATTCAGTCACCGAAGCTGTGGCAGCTGGGGAGGAAGGCGGACACGGGATGGGAGAGCCTCTGTGTGGGAAGGCGCACGTGTGCCAACCTTGGCCTTTCCGAAGGGCCCGTGTGTTTTTGACGACGTGCAAGTTGACTGTGTGTGTCTGAGACGGAACGTCAGCACTGATGGCTCGCAGCCGGCCACATCCGTGAGCGCGTGGTGGCCCCGTGTGGTGTGGATGGTCCTGGTTCTCCGCTGAGTCTTTTCACTGTGAGCTGGCTTTGTAGGTGGCTGCCGTCTGCCTAGGGATGTGAGGCGTTTCAAACCAACCCTCGGCAACTAATTCTGGGGACAGCGGAAGTGACAGAACCCATGCCCCTTCAGAGCTGACCAATCATTAAGAGGCTGACAGCAATCATTCGTGTTTGTTTTTTTTTTAATATATTTTATTGATTTTTTACAGAGAGGAAGGGAGAGAGATAGAGTTAGAAACATCGATGATAGAGAAACATCGATCAGCTGCCTCCTGCACATCTCCCACTGGGGATGTGCCCGCAACCCAGGTACATGCCCTTGACCGGAATCGAACCTGGGACCCTTCAGTCCGCAGGCCGACGCTCTATCCACTGAGCCAAACCAGTTTCGGCAAATCATTCGTTTTTTAAAAGTCAGTTTTGCAAGTAAAGTTCTGCAGAGGGCCCCCCCACTCAGCCCTCACCCACTTCGTGGCTGTCTGTGGATCCAGCTCTCCTCCCCCTCCCACTGCCCTCCGGGACTCAGAAGTGTCCCTGGCCTGCAGGCGCCGGCGGGCCAGCGGCTCTGGCAGAAGACGAGTCTGAGGCTCGAGGCCCAGTGCAGATCCTGACTGTGGGCCGGTTGGACCACGCCCAGGACGCAGGGGAGACGGCAGCTGGTGGGGGCACACAGCCCAGCGGGCAGGACCTCCGTGCCGCGATGCAGAGGAAGGGTGAGCCCCGTGGGGGTCCAGCGACACCCCAAAGCTCAGTCCCAGGTTCTCAGATGCACCCTTCTTGGGGAGCACGACCCTCCTGTGTCTCTTCCAGCCCCTCCCAAACCCTGGTGCGGGGCCCGGGAGACCAGTGGAAAACGCGGGCAGGGGCCCTAATAAGGCCAAGTCAAGGGAAAGACGTATGAGCTAGGGTAACCAGCCAGCCCACAGCCCAGCCTGTCTCCCCCACTCCTATCACCTGCCCCCAAGGAGGCCCTAGCTCTGGGGACAGATTTCCGCTCCCTTTGGTTCCTTTGAAAGAGCTGCTTTTGTAAAATGTCCCCCGTCTGCTGAGCCAGAGGAGCAGGGCCAGGATGCTGAGAGGCAGGGCAGATCCAGGAAATCTGCTAGGATAGCTTCCCCACTGGGAGCCCTGCCCCAGGGAGCCCCTGGTGGGGGGCGGCCAAGGGAAGCCCAGCAGCGCCCACATTCAGGGAATCAGAGGCTGGAGAGGGCGTTCAGTGGGGAGAAGCACACAGACAGGACCTACCGCAGGCTGGGAGGGGAGGAGTCAGCCCTGCACTGCAGGCTAAGAAGCTGGCCTCTCCCAGGCACATTCCATGGTCTGTGCCTGCCAAGGCCTCTGGGAAGCCTGAGGCCAGAGAGGAGGCTCCCAGCACAGGGTCAACCCGTCAGGCCTTGCTACACAGGAGGCAGGCATGGCGAGTGCTGGAGAGGAAGGGGGCAGAGGGACTGACCTGAAGCTTGGAGTGGGGGGCACAGACCCCAAGGATCGTGACCAGTCCCAGCATGTACCTCAGAGTGTGCCCTTGTGTATATTGGGACATCTGTGGGCATGTGTGTGAATGTGTGTGTGCACCTAAGGCCTGGCGTGTGTGCATGCAGTATGATGACTTGGTGCCTGTGAACAGGTGTGTGCCTGGGTGTGTATGTGACCACGCCTCCCACCTGCTCCTGCCTGGGTGTGTGTATGTGACCACGCCTCCCACCTGCTCCTGCCTGGGTGTGTGTATGTGACCACGCCTCCCACCTGCTCCTGCCTGGGTGTGTGTATGTGACCACACCTCCCACCTGCTCCTGCCTGGGTGTGTGTACGTGACCACACCTCCCACCTGCTCCTGCCTGGGTGTGTATGTGACCACGCCCCCCACCTGCTCCTGCCTGGGTGTGTGTATGTGACCACGCCTCCCACCTGCTCCTACCTGGGTGTGTGTATGTGACCACACCTCCCACCTGCTCCTACCTGGGTGTGTGTATGTGACCACGCCTCCCACCTGCTCCTGCCTGGGTGTGTGTATGTGACCACGCCCCCCACCTGCTCCTGCCTGGGTGTGTATGTGACCACGCCTCCCACCTGCTCCTGCCTGGGTGTGTGTATGTGACCACGCCTCCTATCCTGCTCCTGCCTGGGTGTGTGTATGTGACCACGCCTCCCACCTGCTCCTACCTGGCCCAGGCATCTCCAGTAGCATGAGCTTTGAGGAGGAAGAGGAGGATGAGGACGAATACAGCTCCAGTTCCTCCCAGCTAAACAGCAATACCCGCCCCAGCTCCGCCACTAGCAAGAAGTCCATCAGGGTGAGTAGGGAAGGGTGGACGGCAGTGCAGGGCTGGTCACTCACCCAGGCTGCAGGGGAAATGGTGTGGAGAAATGATGGTGAGTGGCTCGCCGGGCTGGGCCCAGATGCCTACCTATTGAGAGCTGCTCAGGCCTGGGCTCTCCCGTCCCCCCTCCCCCCAATCAGGTCTCTTTGCCAGGCCAGGAGGGTGGGGGAACTGGAGTTGGACAGGATGACCTAAGAACCTATCCCCAGGGATGGCTGAGGGAGGGAAGGGCTGGGAAGCTAGCTGATGACCCCAGGGCCAGGCTGGCCCGCCTGCATCCCGGGACTGTGTCTCATCTCCCACCACCACCACATGAAGGGTCAGCTCTGGACCCCAGACCCCCAATTCCAGCTGCTCGGGGTCCCACTCTTCCCTGTAGGAGGCAGCCTCAGCCCTCAGCCCAACAGCCCCAGAGCCCTCGGCAGAAGTTGAGGTCCAGGATCTCGAGGAGTTTGCACAGAGACCAGCTCCCCAGGGCATCACCATCAAGTGCCGCATCTCGAGGGACAAGAAGGGGATGGACCGGGGGATGTACCCCACCTACTTTCTGCACCTGGACCGAGAGGACGGGAAGAAGGTGAGGGGCGCCTGGACGTGCATTTCACCTGCAGGCTTGAGGGCCTGGGGGCTGGGATGTGACCGGCAGCCTCAGATCCAACAGCCACCTCTCAGCTCCCCCAGAGACTGAGGCCCTCGTGCCTGGTCAGTGCGCACCTTTGTGCTGCCAGTGCGTGTACCTGTGTGCACGCCTTTGTGCTGCCAGTGTGTGTACCTGTGTGCATGCCTATGTGTCTGCCAGTGCGTGTACCTGTGTGCACGCCTTTGTGCTGCCAGTGCGTGTACCTGTGTGCACACCTTTGTGTCTGCCAGTGTGTGTACCTGTGTGCACGCCTTTGTGTCTGCCAGTGTGTGTACCTGTGTGCACGCCTTTGTGTCTGCCAGTGTGTGTACCTGTGTGCACGCCTTTGTGTCTGCCAGTGCGTGTACCTGTGTGCACACCTTTGTGTCTGCCAGTGTGTGTACCTGTGTGCATGCCTTTGTCTGCCAGTGCGTGTACCTGTGTGCACGCCTTTGTACTGCCAGTGCGTGTACCTGTGTGCACGCCTTTGTACTGCCAGTGTGTGTACCTGTGTGCACGTCTTTGTGCTGCCAGTGTGTGTACATGTGTGCACACCTTTGTGCTGCCAGTTTGTGCGCATGTGTGTGAGCACACCGTGTTCTGGAACTGAAGCGAGGGAGAGTCCCTTGTGTGAGTGAGTGTGTGAGTGGCACCCGTGATTGTGTGGGGATCAGAGGCTGGGTCTGGAGTGTAACTTCCTCTGCTTCCCCAAGGTGTTCCTCCTGGCGGGAAGGAAAAGAAAGAAGAGTAAAACATCCAATTACCTCATCTCTGTGGACCCTACAGACTTGTCTCGAGGCGGGGACAGCTACATCGGGAAACTGCGGTACCAGCACTCCCCCAGGCGGGGTGGGCAGGCTCTCTAGAGGGAGGAGATCTAGGCCAGGAGTCAGATCCTCTCCGTGGGTCCTCTGTCCCTCAGATCCTACCATGGGCTCTGCCAGCCTAGAGCCAGGCTTGGAGGTGGGCCTCACACACCCACCCTAGGCTGCTCCCAGCCAGGTGGGCATAGGCCCACCCTGAGTGACGGATCAAACCCCAGGATGTCACTGATGATGTCGGCCTCCACGAAGTCACCTTGGCCATGGTCAGGGCTGAGGGGCAGGGCTGAGAGTGAGGCCTTGACGGGAGAGAGAACCACCTTGGGGAGAGAGGAAGGCTTGGAGCCAGCCCCGGGGGAGGAGGGTTTGCTGAGGAACGGAGGGCCAGATTTGGGGAGCGTTAAGTCAAGCTGAGAGGTAAGGAGCCAAAGCTGCGGAGATGGGGCTGGACCAAGACTCGGGCCGGATGGGACAGAGGTCAGCTTATCCGGTCTGCATGGCGTGCTGCGTCCCCTCTGCGGTCTTGCCAGCTGCCATTCAGTTTGCTCACGTCTGTTCCTCCAGGGAGACACTGTGGCACCCTGACTTCCCTCCCTGAACTTACCCCTGAACCAAGATGTTCTTTGATTCAGTTCAGAGCAAGTCCAGGCCTTTTGCCCTTTAGATGGGGACTCAGTGAGCAGTGTGCCCCACACTGGCTCCTGGCTTAGCCCAGAATGCTTTGCAGGCTCCTCACAGGACAGACTGTTAGCTGTTTGCTGCCCTGGGCAGAGGGTGGGTGACCCTGTACTGATGGTGCCTGCCCTGCAGATCCAACCTCATGGGCACTAAGTTCACCGTTTATGACAATGGAGTCAACCCCCAGAAGGCTTCCTCCTCTACGTTGGAAGGTGGGACCCTGCGTCAGGAGCTGGCCGCCGTGTGCTACGTGAGTCCTGGTCCCTGGTCTCTGGTCTCCAAGTAGGATGTGACGGTCAGGACTGGCGGCCTGATCTGTGGGCTGTCCCTGTGGGAGACAAGCTGCAGGGAGGTGGGCTGTCCCCTGGAGGGGCCCTGCCTGGGAGAGGGGCCCAGGCCCTCTCCTCTTCTGAGTGCAGCTCCCAGGGGGCTATCTGCCTGGGAGAGCTCTGGGAACCAGGCCTGGTCTATGCAGCCCAGCCCTGGAGCCTCCTGGAAAGGAGAGGCAGGCCTGGGTTCTTGTCTGTGCATCCCTTCCCTCCTCCCTCTAGCATCCTGATGGACGAAAGGCCCTTACGTTATCTTACTGGATGCTCAGAGTCCAAGAGCTCAGTCTTATTATTTTTAAATAATATTGATGAGAAAACTGAAGCTCAGGGTGGGTCACTAGCCAGTGTCACACTCAGACCGAACGGGAATATAAGTACAGGGGATTTTACTTCATTTTGAAATGAGGGATTGGTACCCCATCAACTTGGGCTAATTGGGAATCCATAGCCCTTTGGCTGTTTTGTATGATCCTATGGTGCCACCTGCTGGTCAGCTTTGGGGATGCAGTCCGAATCTCTTCAAATACCAAATCTCTTTAAATACTGTTCCGGGTACTGTTTGAGGCACTGAGGATATAGTAATGAACAAGAGACATAAACGTATACCCTTATGGGACTTAAACCCTTAGTTTAAGGAGATAAGCTATAAAATAGACAAAAGCAAAATATACATGTTCCTGATAAATGCTAAGATGGAAAAAATAAAAGGGGGAGGGCTGTGAAGTGTCCAGGTGTGTGTGTGTGTGCGTGTGCTTTTAGGGGGATGGCAGGAAGGGCCTCACCGAGGCAGCACTGGGGTAAAACCCAGAAGGAAGTGAGGCCAGCCGTGTGGGTGTTGGGGAGGGCACCATACAGTGTAAGAGTCCTGGACGCCTGGCACATGGGGAACAGCAAGGAGGGTGGCGAGTGCAGGGAGAGTAAGTGCTGAGGGGTAACCGTCTTCAGCTTTTACTCTGAAGTAGGAAGGAAAATGATATGACTTAACAGGACCACTGGCTGCTGTGTGGAGAGCAGGTGACAGGGAGGGGGAGGGGCCAGGGGTGGGAAGGAGGAGTCCACTGGGGTTTTACTGGGAGCTCAGTGAGACGGTGGTGAGAGTGACCGGATTCTGGATGTAATTTGAAGGTAGAGCTGGCAGCATTAGCTGATGGATTAGAAGGTGGGGTGTGAGAGAGGAGTCAGGTATGACCCCAGGTAGTTTGCTGACTTGCTGTTGAGTGAAGCAGAGAGGACTCTATAGGGAGCTAGTTAGGGCAGGGACTCAGGAGTTCGCGTCTGGACGTGCAAAATTTAGACGCCTGTTAGATGTTCAGGTGGAGATGGTGAGAACTAGCTCATCATCTCTCTTCCCTCCCTCCAGCCTCCCCAGTAAGTCGAGTCCTCAGGTGGCCACTGTTCTCTGTTTCGCAGGAGACTAACGTCTTAGGTTTTAAGGGGCCACGGAAGATGACTGTGATTGTCCCAGGCATGAACATGGTTCACGAGAGAGTCTGTATCCGGCCCCGCAACGTGAGTTCCTCCCCCACCACACCCTGCCCCCCTCATCCCAGCCTCTGCATGAGCTCCTAAGGGCAGAGCGCCAGCTCGTGTGTCTGCACGGGAGGCAAAGTGTGAGCAGCCCGGGGGGTCTGGTGAAAGCTGGGGACCCCCAGCCCTGGGCCCGATCCCATGGCCCTGGGTTGGTCACGGAGCCAAGGCCGGGCCTGGCTCAGCAACGTTGCTCTCTCAGGAGCACGAGACGCTGCTAGCACGCTGGCAGAATAAGAACACGGAGAGTATCATTGAGCTACAAAACAAGACGCCTGTCTGGAACGATGACACGCAGTCCTACGTACTCAACTTCCACGGGCGCGTCACGCAGGCCTCCGTGAAGAATTTCCAGATCATCCATGGCAACGACCGTGAGTGTCTGCCCCGACGCCTGGCTACCTGCATGCTCGCCAGGCTCAGCTCAGGGCTCCGCTCGCTGGCCCTGCCGTGCGGCCAGTGCTGAGGACCCGGTCGCACAGCTTAGATTCGCTGTAGAGACCGTATGCCTGGGAGGCCGGGAAGGCCCTGCGGAGCCTGGACGTGGGCTCTGTGTGCTCAGCAGTCCGGGTGGGAATGTCTCTCTCCGTCCCCAGCTCCTGGTGTTTGCATGCTCCCTCTGTCCTGCCCTTCCCCCACTGGTCTGTTTCATTTCCCATGAGATTCCCTGGGTACCTCTGCCTCTCGCTTTCTCTTCCCTCTTGTGATCTGCGTGTCTGTCTGTCTCTCCGTCTCTCCCGTCCTGACTGTTCCTGTCTGCACGGTGCCCGGCTCCAGCGGACTACATCGTGATGCAGTTCGGCCGCGTGGCAGAGGACGTGTTCACCATGGACTACAACTACCCGCTGTGTGCGCTGCAGGCCTTCTCCATCGCCCTGTCCAGCTTCGACAGCAAACTGGCCTGTGAATAGAGGCCTCCTCACGTCCGTCGGGGTGGCCCAGCCCGGAGTGGGGCTGCCTGCCTGCCCTCTGTACATAGGCCTCCTGCCAGATGAACCTGTGGCTCTCGGTGGGCCCCCGGCCCAGCCAGCCAGGAACTGGCTCCTCTGCCCCCCTGTTGAGGCAGAGAAGTGGGGTGTGTGTAAAGGGCCCACAGTGAATTCTTTCTGTGCCCCAGGATCCACACACACACACCCAACCTTGGGTTAGCATCCTGCTGCAGTCGTGTTTGCCAAGCTGCGAAGGCAGGAAGAGGTGTAGAGGGAGAGGAAGCACAATGCCGGGCTGCTGTGGCCCAGCCACCCACTCAACCCAGGAGTCGATGAGCACGGATCCCGGCAGGGAGGGGCACAGTGAGTGTGTGTGGAAGGCAGTCACCGTCACACAGCAAAGGGCTTGGTAGCCGAGCCTGGCCCTTAACTGCAGGAAGCCCCCTGACTTCAGGCCTCAGCCAGGCCTGGGAGAGGCCAGCAGGTAGGGGAAGGGTCAGCGGCAGGACCCTGTCAGGGTTGCAGGGGCCTGGCTGTGGGAGCTGCCTGGTGGCCTCGGGTTCTAGCTCATTTGGTTTCTCTAGGTTTTCTCTGTGCACAGAGGCAGCAGGAGGCCAGCCATCAAGGCCAGCTGTCTTAGAGGATGGCCTGCAGGACACAGGCTCAGCATACGGGAGGTGCATGGAACAGGCGTCCTGGACCAGGCTGTCCTGGGAGCCCTCAGCTACCCCAGCAGCTCTCTGCCCAGCAGCCTCGGTGCAGGAAACATGGACGGGCCTAGGTCACCAGCCCCGGACTCCACACAGGTAGGCGTGCCCGGGCTGGGGCTGGTGAGCTGCAGGTGCTCTGCCTGGGCTTCAGCTCCTGCTGCAGTGAGTGGAGGTCGTGGCTGCTGAGGGCCGCACTGCGTGGTCCTCGGAAGGATGGGGCAGCTGAGGAGGGCAGGGAGTACTGCAGAATCACTAGACATGAGAGGCGGCAGGACCCTTAGAGATCAACTAGTACAACGGCCACCATAGGCAAATCACTCAACGTATGGTACTTGCCTGGGGTCACCTGGCTGGTGAGTGGCAGGGTCAGAGCTTCAGCTCCCTGGATTTCTGTGTTCCCAGCATCCCCCCAGAAAACCATTACCTATGGCTTTCGGGCCTTCCCGGGGCCCAGTCCGATGCCCTCGCCCCAGATGAGATGGTGTGCGTTCGGGGTGTTGCGGCTATAGACTGAAGTGGAAACTATCTCAGTAGATTGGCAGTTCCCTGCTAAAAGCCGTCTGGCTTTTTGCCTGTCAGACTGATCAGGACTGACCTGTGTCTGGCTCCCCCAGAGAGCAGGCCTAGCGAGGCTGCTCCCCATTTCTGCACGTGGGTGTGATGGGCGGTGCGTGTGCCGGGCGGGGGCCTGATCTCCTCCTCCCCCAACATCCTCTTCTGAGGACATGGGAACGCCTCTTGCCTTTCTGTCCTTTTCCCTGGTTCACCCTGATGGAGAGCAGGCGTCAGTGGGAAGCAGGCAGTTCCTCCCTTCAGAGTAGATGTGCTTGGAAAGGCTGTGTAGAAACTGATGCTTTGAAAACATGTCAGCGAGGTCTGCCGTGAGGTGGAGGAGCTGTTCTGACCTGAGTGGAGGTAGTGCGCTCTCGCTTCCCTGAAGCACAGGTTTCCCGGGCATACTGAGAGCCGGGTCATCTGTCACAGCCGATCGCCCACCCCCGGGGGTTTCCGAGAGGCCCCTCCAGGGGGACCATTCTGAGGGCACTGCGGCTTTCTGTAGAGGGCCGGTCCACATCCCAGGGAACCTTGCGGTGTCCTCCTCCTTCCCATGGTCCCGTTCGGCTCTTCCTTTTCTGACCTGGGGAAGAGACCTGCTGCCAATTGGGGTGATGGAAACTAGATGATCTCTAATGTCTGGTCACGCTGTTTCTCTGAATGGGATTTAAAGGCAGAACAGCTGGTGCTGTATCCTAGCTGGTGCTGTATCCTAGGGAGAGGGGAGGAACCAGAAGCACAATGGCAAACTCCCGCTTTCTCCTCCAGCGCACGGGAGCTGGGCTGGCTGGGTTTTGGTGGGACCCAGAATGTGGGCTGAGCTGCTCACTGGTTGTGCAGAAGGGTAGCTTAGCAACAAGACCCTCTGTTAGGCATTGAGTGACAAGCAAGAACAGTTGTCACCTGCTCGAGACCCAGCCTCAGGTCTGTTCTTACGGCCCTATTCCTGGTGACGCTGGCTGTCCTTGACCACTGGCCCCAGGATCCACACACACCCCCAAGAGCTGTGGGCCCAAAGGCTCGAAGCTGCCAGGGCCCAGCCTCTCCCGTAGTAAGAGTTCTTGTTCTCCACCCAGATGGCCCTTGGTTGGGCAGGGAACTCGAGGATAGAATGGGCAGTTCCTGTGGGCATGGGGCAGCTGGGACCGTAGGCAGCCCTCCTGGGACTGCTCCTGTGACTCCTTTTGGGGCCACACCCCAAACCTCCACGCCCTCTGCCCAGAACAGTTCTGCAGAGTGGCGACATTCACTTCCCGCCTCTTCTTTTTTTCTGGCTCCAAGGTGCTCTGTGTCTGTCTGCATCTCTGTGTCTGTGGTGTTTGGGGAAAGGGCAATCTGCTAAGAATCAACTGAGGTTTGTTTCTAAGGATGAGCAGGAAAGGGATAAGGATTCTGTTCATGCCGTTCGGGCTGTTAGGAAGCGCCAGCGTCTCCCAGGTTCTGATTAGGAAAACATGGTCTGAGAAAGTGGTCCGTTCCCATTCTGCGTTACCTGGGGACACTCGTGTGTCGTGTGCACGCTTTTGGACGAACCTGAGCATATTCTAGTGACTGTGCCTTAGAAAACGCGGCACTAGTTCAGAAGGAGCACGTAAGGTCCGCCGTGCTGCGGACACGTGCTGGGAGTATGGTAACCGCAGGCGTGAAGAGGCCTTTGGAGTCCGCCTCCCAACAAAGGCAAGAAAACTGTAGAAGTTTTTGTCTATAAAGAGCAGGGCATTTGCCTCTAAACTGAACAAGCAACAGCGCTGATGTCACACTAAGCTCCGTGCACTCCTCGCAGTGGGGTCTGCAGGGACGGGAGATGCTGGGCTGGCACATCTATGGCTGTTACGCAAGCACAAATCCCATCTCCCTGGCGGAGTCCTGGTTCCCCCCGACTGCAGCGACACTGGCATTCCCTTCTGGAAGTCCTCCCCCGGCCGGGATGTGGTGTGACCAGCACACCTCTCCGGAGAGCGGAGGGAGTCTTCCTCCCGGTGCCCAGCATGCCTGGGCCTGACTCCCTGGGTTCTGGCTTGTTGAACTTGTAGCAGCCCCAGGAACAGGCCAAAGGATGGGCTCTGGCTTGAGTTTATTGGTCACCTGTCCTTACACTTCAAGTTTTCTGTCATCTCAGGATACAGGGCAGAGGCAAGCAGGAGTACTGGGACAGGTTTGGTTTTTTAATTTTCCAACTAAGCTGAGAAGCAAGTTGGTCTTACAGAAGGCATTCCTGTACTTCGTGGCTACTGGTATGTGATTCTGAGCAAACCAGGAGGCTGGACTGTCAGTGCTTGCAGTGGGAGTCAGGGTGGCTGGGAGGTGACCTTTGCTTTCATCACCACCGTTTCTAGCTCATCATTGTGCCTTTGTTCTTCTCTAAGATGTCACACCCTTTTCCTCTTCTGTTCTACTGCCCCCTTCCCCCACCCCAATCAAGGTCCAGGCAGAGCTGAGACAAGGCTGATGAGAGAGTCCTAGAGTGACTTGGAGTGGCTCAGAAAGGGAGCCCGACTCTGGCCCTTTCCTGTTTGGTGATGAAGGGGTTTTGGTCAGGATGGGTGACGCTTCTCTTGCTGAGAACACAGCCAGTTTTCATAACGCTTAGAATGTGTATGTCTATTTGCACAAGACCGTCTTTTCCTATTCTGGAGTGGTCAGACATTTATTTTTGTTCAAGACTATCTGGAGTTTTAGATGAACTTACAAAACTGTGCTTTTATTGACTTTTTGAATAAACTCTTTGGTATTCTGGAGCAAATGTATTTATTTATTGGTATGTGCAATGACAAAGTTGGTATTTTCCCACGTTATCTATGTTGTATAACTTGTGTTTGTCTAAGTACAGACCATATATCATCAAATTAAACTTGAACTATTTCAACACTACTCTGTAATTTTTTTCCTATAAAAGGAGAAAAAAACCATGTTTTTTACCTAGAAGTTTTTTTCTACAGCATTCAATCCTTACGAGCCTCAGGGAGGAGGAGGAGGATGGTGCTAACAACGACAGGTGGGTCTAAGCCAGCGGTTCTCAACCTGTGGGTCGCGACCCCTTTGGCGGTCAAACGACCCTTTCACAGGGGTCGCCTAAGACCATCCTGCATATCAGATATTTACATTACGATTCATAACAGTAGCAACATTACAGTTATGAAGTAGCAACGAAAATAATTTTATGGTTGGGTCACAACATGAGGAACTGTATTTAAAGGGCCAGAAGGTTGAGAACCACTGGTAAGCGGTCCTCCCTCTGGCCTGGGATCTTCAAGTTTAAGGCTGGCAGAACCACATGCGGAGGCCGGGAAGGGCTGGAAGAATGGCAAGGACAGAAGTACGTGTGTTAGAACAATCCTCCACAGGGCTGCTGTGCCAGCCGAAGAAGGCTGTTGGTCCCGGAGTACCCGTGAGGGCCTGGCCCTACCTAGAGCCTCCCCTATTTAAACAGGACACGGACATACTTGGGAGCCTTCCCTCAGCCTGTGGCAGGCCTGAAGCCCAGCACGAGGGAGGCTGCAGTGGCGGCTGGAAGCAGACAAGGAAGGTAAGGATCTGCTCCTGAGGGAGGTCAAAACTAAAGTCACCCATAGCCCTGGAGGGCGTCCGGTGTAACAGCCCGAGGGATGGCAGTGAGGATGCTGTCCTGAGCACCTACAGCAGGCGACACCTGGGACAGACAGACAGCCTTGCAAGGTGGGTATTACTCCAAATTCATAAATGCTCAGAGAAGGAATAATCTAAGGGAAAGAATAAGTTTGTCCTGTTTGTGAAAAAAAATGAGGAAAGTTTAGGTGCCTTTTAGAAAGATCTGTATAGTCAAGGGAACATCATGGCTACTTCATGTTTTTTTCTCAATATTGCTGAATAGCTGAAATACTAGATTTTCATTTGGAGCATAGTCTGGGTTGAGACGGAATTTAAGAATGTGGTCATGAGGAGGAGTGGTTTATTACCCTCAGAGTTTTTCTGTAGCCACAAGCATTTCCTGTATGAACCGGGGCCTGTCTCCTTAGTTCTGCCTCTAGGAAACAGCACACGTGGGGAACTGTGGAAAAGGAAAGAGGTTTGTATTGTTTAGTGGTCAGGACAGTCCTGGTTGAGACCCATTTTCCTGGCGTAGTTTTTATTAGAACTCCCTTTCCTAAGTGTCCCAATTTGGACCACACCTTGTTTGAGTACCCCACCACCTTTTCTAGAGGCTGAACGTGCCTCCTGCTACGGCCGCCTAATCTGAAATGACTGAAAGTACAAAAAATTTATGGACTATAAATATATTCCTGCTAATAAACCAAGCAAGGGGTGGGCAGCAAGAGGCATCAGGAGGTCATCGCACATCTGGCGGGACCTGCTTCCATAGCCAGTTTCCCCCAAAGATTAACATTCACATAAGGACTTGGTTATGTAACACCTTCCACAGCAGCCCCATCCACGTACCTGAACATCCACATACTTTCTCCGAGGATGCCTTCTCTTCCTTGTTCACTGGAGAAGTGCTTCCTATGCCCCCTCTGTGAAGTTTCTTGGAAGTACTTTGGCAAATACGATCTGTTTTCCTATAGATTTGGGTCCATATCTCAGTTCCAGCATAAAACCACAGCTACCATTTACTGAGAGGTGGTCATGTAGGACTGAGGCTGTTTTACAGGCACTGATGATGCCATTTAATACTCAGAACCACCTGGGAGACCTAGACTCTTGTTTTAGAGACAAGAGCCCCGACAGAAGGCTTAAGGAGCCGACAAGATTCCAGTCAGAACAGATGGGGATGGATTCACGACTGCCCTTGCTCTGCCTGCAGAATTCACGAGCTTGAGCCCTTTTATAGTGTATTAGAGGCCCGATGGACGAAAATTCATGCAAGAGTAGGCCTTCCTTCCCCCGGCTGCCAGCACCTGCTTCTCTCCAGCCGCTGGCAGGCACCTGGGACCCCGGCTTTGTCTGGAAGGATGTCCAGTCTAATTAGCATATTACCCTTTTATTATTATAGTTAGTTCATTAAAATAAATTGGATAAGGCTTCCCCCATTAAACTGAGTTTTTAAAATGTAGGAATTGAGCCTTCCATTCCCACTGCCTGCCTCTGAGCAGTGTCTGCCAGATGAATTGAAAACTAGAAGGAAACATATGCATCTCTAACACAGGAATCATAGCCTAAGGCAGAAAAAGAAATTTAAAACAGGGACCCAGCACTGTCATAAATCAACCCCTGTGAATGAAGGGACATAGCATGGAAAACAATTTATCGAAGCAGTAGAGCACCTACATTATTTTTTACCTTGAGCATTACATCTAGATGGTTTTCAGTACATTTTAAACTGCATCTGTTACAAGTGAATCAAATATCCCAAAGACAGATGCAATATGCTTTCTATAAACTCAATCTTCAATGACTGCAGTTCATTAACTAACAATAAGTGTCTAATAGTAGCTGAACTTAATCTTAATATGACCCCATACCTTCTGACAGCAGGCTGTATGATTAAATATGTTCCTGGCATCTTGTGCCATATCTACCTTTACATAATCATTCAAGTCTTCCAAACTTCATGACTGGGAGTGTCCTCGGGAACGCGCCCTCTTTAAACCCTCGGGTCTACCACGGGAAATGGGTTCACTCATCCTGTCTCAAGAACACAGATGGCAGCTTTGAGATCAGGCCTGTAGTTTGGTCAAGATCCTCCCAGGCCTAACCTACTTCCCACTCCCCCAGCT